CATGAACAATTGATTAGGTATTCTGCGAACGACAGGTATTGACGACAAGGACATTCGAATTGTGGCAAACCTATACTCGGGGTCAAACAGAAGAGCAAAATTGGCAACGAACTCACTGAAAGCGTGCAGATCAAAAGAGGTGTCCGTCAGGGGTGTATAATTATCCCCACTCCTATTCTACTATGTATTCCGAGGAAATATTTAACAAATGTGATGAAAATGCAAATTGAGGGCATTAAAAATAAACGGCGAGTTAACGAACAATATAAGATACGCCCGACGACACGGTGATCCTTGCCAGCTACCATAGACGAATTACAACAAGTAATGAGAAAGACTTTATTCAGTTTAGTGAGGAATACGGCCTGAGCCTCAACTTCAAGAAGACAAAGTGGATTGCTGATAAGCAAAAAGCAAATCAACCCTGCTCGAACAATTACGGTATAAGTAACATAGTAATTGTACCATGTAGAATCTTATGTGTACCGTGGCACCAACGTAAATGCAAAATGGGAACAGACCATAGAAATTAAAGCGCGAGAATAGAACGAGCTAGAGCAGCATTTAGCAATATGAAAAAGCTCTCATAAGCAAGGATTTGTCTCTTCCCCTAAAAACTTACGTATAGTTAAATGCTACATTTTTCCTGATCTTGCTGTATGGGCGTGGAGGCCCTGGACGCTGACGGAGACGCTAACGAGAAAACTAGAAGCATTCGAAATGTGGGTTAGTACCGACGCATTCTTCGTATATCCTGGACCGAACATGTCACCAACATAGAGGTACTCCAAAGAATCGGAAAGGAGAAAGAAATCGTGAATACAATTAAACAAAGAAAGCTTGAATATCTAGGCCAACATATTTGAGACACGATAAGTACCGTCCTGCTACAATTGATTGTCCTCAGGGAAAAATAGACAGTAAGCGAGGGCTCATGCAGGAGAATGGATGCATGAAATTTATTTATAAGACTTTTAGTCTTCTGAATTGGTATGGTACCCATTTAGGTTCCATTGAATAATAGAAATAAAAATAGTATAATTAAGTCTCCGGAAAGGAATCGCTAAGATCATCGGTAGAAGTATTACTTAAAATTTGTTCTGTAACTTTGTTTTGAATTCTAAAACAACGGGATTTAAGATATCTTGGACTTAACATAGGATGTATTTTCTTTAGAAAGTATATCAATCCTTCGATATCCTCCAAGTAAGTTCTGGTGACACTAATTGGATCTGAAGAACCATGCGCATTTTCAAAGAAGTCAATAAGTTTTTCCTGTTTTAAGTATCGATCGTTGGAGTTTTCTTTGAAAAACTCACTGGTGCATTTGGTAAGATCTGCTACTAGGTTTTTGTAGTTTTTTTGTTGAGTTTTTGGTTAACTGCTTATTAGGAGGATATTATTTCAGATATTTAGGTTGCTCGAATGAGGATGTATCTTGATCAAAGGTATCCATTTGAGTTTCATTAGGTAGGTCGCAGTTTATCGGAGTATGCTTATTTGATTGAGAGGTAAAGATTTTTCTAGACGTTTTAGCCTCAGTAAGAGAGGATTGTGTAGAGAAACTTATCGACAAAAGAGCTAATTGTTGTACATTAATTTCAGTCTCAGTAGGAGAGGATTGTGTAGAAGAAATTGTCGAAAGAGGAGGTGATTGGTGTACTTACTGTAAAGAGTTTAGATGAAATTAATTTTTTGGTTTGTTTGAAGGAGTCTGATTATTTTTATTGGGACACTGAGATGCAGAATATCCTTGCTGTCTGCATAAGTATCAAGATTGCTTTTCGATGAAATAGAAAATTTGATAGTTGTTATCCTCATGGTTAACTAACATAGAATTGTCTTAGTTAGTTGGCGCTATAAAAGTGTATCGTCGGAAACTCAAGATATGCTTGAATGCTGGATTTGAAGTCGCTATCGTGTGAAAGCCAATTGGAGTTATTAAATGTATACTTAAGTTTTTCAGTTGTTCTTCTATAACTCTGTGTGGAATACTTGGACAAACGTTGGAAATAAACAATCGTTCATTTAAAGTTATTAGTCTTCGGGTTTGAATACGTTCTTCATTAATTACTACAATTCCATTGTCGTTTGCTAGAAACTCATCGACTGCCTGTTCACTGGTAAAGAAGATACAAATACGATCATTTATAATTTTAGAAATAAAATCTATTTTTCTGGGATCCACTTTAGAGGTTACTGCATTAAGGTAAACTTCAATATTAGAGTTTGGAAGTGAGTGAAGTAGAATTACTCGTTTTTTGTTTGGAAATTTATATATAGGTTGATTAAGAGCTGTAGAATATAATTTTGATGGTTGGTTTACAAGTAAATTGCCAGAACTTTCCATGGTGGAAGTTCCCGCTGCTGAATCCATTTCCACGCTTGGGCTAAATAATCTGAATACAGCCCTGATGCTTATAATGGATCATTACCAGAAGGACTGCTTATAAACCCACGCCAATCGGCAAAATAGTTGTTTATTCTTAAATTGATATAGATGACATAGGAAAATCAAACTTACAGTTTTTAGTCCAAAAGAAGTAACACTTTTACACTGCACCTTTGTTTAAATTTTAGATATTATCAAAATTCTACATTTGATAATAAAAATATTTATTTTGTCCAAACTAACAATCAACGATAACAAGTTATCGTTATTTGCTGATATGTTTACTGTTCCACTGTTCGGAGGTTCGATCGAGAATCCTTTTGTCATTAATTGTTGTTCTAATACTCGTAGTTTGATACTACTTATTCAGAGTTTTTAGTTATTTCATTCCTTTTCGTGCAGTCGAATATTATTAATATAACACCCTATGTACTAAATCATTTTTGTATGTATTACGTTATTGATTTTTAGTTATTTATATTACCACAAGGTTCTGTTATAAGCACAACAGTTTATTTTGACATTTAATGATGTAGACAAAAGTATTCATCTTCCAGTTAAACACGCTTTATACGCTGATGACCTTCTACTCTTTTGCAGAAGAAAGAATACCGAAACAACCTGTCGACTAATGCAAACACTCATTGATAATATAGAAAGGTGGTTGAGACATATTGAGCTTTCCTTCTTATCTCAAAAAACTAAAATCATGAAATTTAGCAGAAAAATGACAAAAGATAATCTAATTTTGACATACAATAAAGTATTACTAGATGTTATTGATCATCATAAAGTCTTAGGACTGACCTTCGACTCCATACTTACTTGGAATACACACATATACGAAACGAAAGAGAACTGCTTAAAAAATATTAAGATCCTAAAAAGTTTAGCACATATTTAATAGGGAGCCGACGAAGAGGTATTGCTTACAGTTTACAGATCCATTATTCGCTCCAAAATAGACTATGGTAGTTTTGTCTATATATCTGTCTCCAAGTCACATCTGAAATACGAATACGAGTCTTAGTATGGTCTTCATATCTAGCCCAGTTCAAAGTATGTACTGTGAAGCTAACGAACCACCACTATGGTTGAAGAGACATCTTCTTTTGTCATATGTAGCTAGCTTATCAGCCAATCTACAATATTCAGTCTATCAACTACTTATACAACCAAATAATCTCATTCATCATTCTCAGACCGATCACTAGAGCTGCACAACCCTTCTCTTTTATACTAAATTCTATTCTCGATGGTTTTGATCTTTCTGCAACTTCACCTTTTCATACCTCTACACATCCTCCGTGCTATAAGCAACTTCCGAATGTCAACACCTCAGTTTACTCTTTCAATAAATATAATACTCCTAAAGCTATAATTAAACAATTGTTCCTATACATATTTAATCGAAATCAGTTTCATAAAGTTCTTTATACAGATGCCTCTAAAAATGATGTAAGGGTGGATAGTGCTGTTGTTTCCTCTTTCAGCACTACAAAACTAATCAAACTTACTGCCGTTTGTATTGTATACATTGCAGAGCTATACGGTATCGTCGAGGCTTTTCGTATGTTGGAACCAACTGACCGCAATCTAGCGATTTGCACAGACTCCTTACCATCAATACTAGTAATTAAAAACATGTTCTCAGATCATCACCTGGTAAATTTAATACATGGCATATATTATAATAAACTTACGGACCATGGAGTAATTGTCACTATTGTCTGGGTACCTTCACATGTATGAGTTGTAGGAAATAAGGCTACAGATGTAGTCGCAAAAGAAGCTTCTACATTGGATATACCTATAGGTATTAAATATCTAGTTGCGTAATGATATTAAAAAAATGTTTAAAAAGCGTATATAAATATGATAAATGGCAAGCTAACTGGAACACAACTCCGAGTCACTTACACGATATACAACCAGTTATACCTTCTTTAGAGCTACCACCTATGCCCAGAAGACATAAGTTTATTCTAAGAAGATTAAAACTTGGACACACTCGTCTTACACATGGCTTTCTAATGGCATCCACCGATCTATGCAGTCCCTTAACTTTCAGACATTTCCTTAAAGAATGTCCGCATTTCTCCGCTAAAAAAACAACACCAGTTGGGAGATAATATTAAAGAAATGTTGAATGAAACTCAGAAATTTGTAAAATTGTTTAAATGTTTAAACGACATTCAAGTGCTTAGTAAACTCTAAATGTTAATAATTATGTGTACCGGTTAAATTTGTAATTTATGTGTATTTTTTGTACTGTGTATTGTCAAATGTAAAACTGTATATAGCTTATATTGTATTGTGCTGTCATTGTGTCAATGACCTTGTAGTCGAGACCCGTTAATTGAAATAAAAAAAAATATTTATGTTTCCTTGAGAAAAAACAGTAATATTTAAAGTGCCTATAGTTTCGAACTATAAAACCTTAGAAAAATTCTTCATATTTTAAAAAAATATATATAAAAATGACTTAATTTAAATTGCAAATGTTTTTATACATCACTTTTGTTTAACACATTGTTTTATATAATACACTTTACTATAAAAAAAAATTGAATAAATACGCTACTATTTGATTTTGAGTACATTTTTAGAACTGCTTTGTGTATTCCTGAGCTCACTCCATCAAAACATAGGATTACAATATTTCGGTACGAAAATGTCGATTCAGCCAAGTCAGATATAAAAAGAATATTTGCACATGTTTTAAGAAATGTATACGAAGTTAGAATGCATGAAGATTTGGCAATGGGGGAAATCTATGTGATAGATTGTGAAAATCTTAAACTAGATATTGTATTAAAAATAACACCAGTAATACTAAAGCAGTGTGCGTTTGTTTTCGAGGTAAGTTTATATAGGGTATTTCACAATGAGATTACACTATTTATATATTGGAAATTACTTACATCATATTTCGTCGCCCCAAAGCAACAGTAGGATATGTAAAATAATGACTTTTGTGATATTCCTGTCAAATGATTCGAAATAAACCCTTTTGTTGAGTGTAACACTAGGATAAATAAAAAGTGATATACTTTTTTCATAATATAACATATCCTTGTGTAGTTTAATTATTTTTAAACTATTTACATACTTTACATACTTCTACCAAATGTAGAGTCCCTCAGGGAGCATATCATGTGGCCACTAAAAATGTCAACTCCTCTTCTTTATTAATTAACAGGGTGATTTGTGTAATTGACCATTTATTTCATTTTACTGTAGTGTTTATACGGCTCATTTGATTTTTTTAATTTTTGCATGATACAGTACACTACTATCAAGCATTCGACTGGTATTAGCTAAACTAAAAAGTTCCAGGACTGGCTTTGGAAAAATTAATTTAGGGATTCGTATTAAATATTACACCCTGTATATATATATATTTTAAAATCCAATAAGTGATTTTCAAACTACATAAATAGCAAATGAAAACGACATATGCGACAATATTGTCGCACTTTTATTAAATTTTGAGTGAACGATCAAATCTTACCAAAAATAGAACAATCATAATGAAGTATCAAATTATAAGGTATTAATTTAAACAAATGTTATAAATGTCAAACATTTTAATTAAAATGAGTTCCTACAACATAATCTAATACATAGAAAATTAACATCCTTATTGCCACTTTGTATTATCTATACGATAGAATCAATTGTTTTTCAATTTTAAATTTTTACTCATAGATCGTATTGGGGCATTATTTTCGATAAATAATAAATTAAATTGATTAAAAAGTCAAACCTCTTGTATGTGTTAGTTTTTGTTGACTATAAATGATTAAAATTTTATGTCAAATAGTAATACATTGCATCAACTGTACTAAATAAAAATAAATCTAAAAAAGTTTAAAATGAAGGTTGGCGTTGACCGTTTGACGTTTCTTGATATTTTATACCCATTGTCATTATTGTCATTATCAATTGTTATTTATTCGTACAAGAATACATATTTCTTCTGTCATATCTACGTTAAGTACATTGTGTTAGTTTTGGTAGAGCTTTTGTTACTTTCGTTCAAAATGCCACATCAGTTTTCGACCACAGAATATGCAGACATATTTGTTTATGGATTCTGTAATGGGAATGGTAGGGCTGCTAATAGAGAATATCGCAGAAGATTTTATAATCGTCGAACACCCAGTCATCCAACATTTGGGTCAGTTTTTAATTATTTGCGAAAAAATGGCACTTTTCCTAGTAGAACAACAGAGCGACATGTAGATGAAGCGCAGGAAGATGACATTATGGACGCCGTTACTATGAACCCTACAATAAGCACTAGACAAATATGTCGAGAACTCAATGTTACTCAATCAAAAGTAAGTAGAGTCTTACAAAAAAATAATCTATACCCATAACACATTCAAATGGTTCAGCGACTACATGCTGGAGATGAGATCGATAGGTTGTAATTTTGTAGATGGATTAACAAAAATCGACCAACGCTATACAGGAAAATATGTACAGATGAAGCCCAATTTACCAGAGACGGGATAAATAATTCACGAAATTTACATGTGTGGGCAAAAGAAAATCCCCATGCTATTCGAGAACGTCGTTCTCAGTTAAGGTTTTCGGTTAACGTGTGGATTGGTGTCATAAATAACCAATTAGTAGGTCCACACTTTTTTGATGGTCCTTTAACAGGGCAGGTCTATTTGAACTTTCTACAAAATATTTTGCCGAATTTGCTTGCCAACGCGAACGTTACTATCCGAGGGATGTATCTTCAGTATGATGGGGCACCCCCACACTTTTTACTGACAGTGAGACAACATCTTAATAATGTTTATGACAACAGGTGGATAGGACGTGCAGGTCCTATTTCGTGGCCTTCAAGATCCCCTGATTTCAATCCCGTTGATTACCATATTTGGGGACAATTGAAGCAACTAGTTTACGCAGTGAATATTAATAACCGACAACAATTAATTGATAGAATTATACATTGTTTTAATGCTATTAGAAACGATCCCCAGAGTATCCGTAATTCAATACGTCAATTAACAATTCGGCAACAAAAATGTGTACAGGCTGCAGGGTTCCATTTCGAAAATCTATTTTGAATTATTTTTACTTTGTTACCATTATTGTATCTTTTCCAGTTCTAATTTATGGGTTTATCATAACTATGTACACATTTTTAGTTTTTTTTTTAAATTGTTCTTCGTTATTGTTAGTAGTTACTGTTTTTTGTTGTGCAGTGACTCAGTTTATCATTTCAATTAAAATGTTTGAAATTTATAACATTTGTTTAAATTAATTACCTTATAATTTGATACTTCATTATGGTTGTTCTATTTTTGGTAAGAGTTGATCGTTCACTAAAAATTTAATAAAAGTGCGACAACATTGTCGCATATGTCGTTTTCATTGGCTATTTATGTAGTTTGAAAATCACTTATTACATTTTAAAAAATATATATACAGGGTGTAATATTTAATACGAGTCCCTAAATTAATTTTTCCAAAGCCAGTCCTGGAATTTTTTAGTTTAGCTATTACCAGTCGAATGATTGATAGTAGTGTACTGTATCATGCAAAAATTAAAAAAATCAAATGAGCCGTATAAACACTACAGTAAAATGAAATAAATGGTCAATTACACAAATCACCCTGTTAATTAATAAAGAGGAGTTGACATTTTTTAGTGGCCACATGATATGCTCCCTGAGGGACTCTACATATGGTAGAAGTATGTAAAGTTCCTCATGACTCACCCTGTATTACGTACGTGAACCTGTTAACCCTTTCTGGACGGACTTTTTTTTGTTTATATTTAATGGTAAATAATTTGTTTTTAGGACATATTAGGGCAAAAAACAGACAAATCAAAGGTTTTTTATATTATATTTTTGTAATTAGTACAAAAAAAGGTGGTTCCATGTGGAGCCACTAGGCCACAAACGAAAAACTTATTTGGTGTGAAATGGAATAAAACAATTTTTTTTTCAGATAGACATAAACCTACTTTACATGTAGTACAGTGCCATCTTGTACGACGAGGAGTTGCCTTGGTACTGCAGTGTGTACAACGTACTTCATGCTTCATGCTTCATGCTAAGGCATATGGGCTACTTTGTCAGTTCTTCTTTCTAGAGGAACTTGTTTTTTGAACCTGTTACTGGTGCTTGGTTTATCCATGCTTCCTCTTCCAAATTTAGGCATTTGGGGGTCTACTTTAATCAAACCGGTGACCACAGCAATTTTAAATTCTTTCATAGACATACTCTGACCTGTTGTTGATTGTTTGAAAATTATATATAAGTTTAGTAATGTTAGGTCAACAAAATGGAAAAAAAAATGTATGCCACCACTTTTTGGATTTTCTATCGAATTCGTAGCAGGATATATTTGTTGTTTAATCTTGTTCTAATTTTTTGCAGTTAATTTCCAATGATGTCGCATGCTTTTCTTTCCTCTTCACAGTGACATTTTCTTCAAATTTGTAAAAATTGCTTAGAAAATGAATGGGTTTTTCATCCATCCATTGCAAAGCTAGCACGCCGTCTTCACTCCTTTTGAGTCGCCAGTCCAGAGTCCAGTTTGATTTATCCCTTTTCATTTTTTTATTTGTTTTAAGTTCAGTTGGAAAACCTTTTCAATCTTTTCGAGTTGTTACACATGCACAGATATTGTTTTTTATCAAGTCGCGTTGTAATGCAACAGAATTGAAATAGTTATCGAAATAAACTTTATAATTTTTTCCAACAAAATCTCTTGTACGATCTTTTATTTCTCTTGCCCCGAGCTAGTGGTTCCCTTACATCGTTTACTTTTCCGGTATATACTTGAAATTGTATGTCCTGACTGATCAGTACGTACCCATATCTTATATCCTCTTTTTATGTGCTTTATCGGCATATATTGGCGTAAACTGCTTCGTACCTTAAACTTCATCATCGATTTGTCTATTGTTTGTTGCTTGCTGGGATAAAATGAGCTTTTATAAGTGGTTAAAAGTTCCTTTAGCAATGGCTGCACTTTGTAGAGTTCATCGTAGTTGCCATTACTTTTCTTATAGGTTATAATGAATTGTCATTTATATGAAGATAAGTAAGCAACTTTCCAAATCTGTCACGCGACATACATAAAGCAATTAACTGATACCTGATAACAAAATTTGCTGACCAAAAATCTCTATAAGTGGGCAACTTTTCACACCCATCAAAAGGTTTATTCCCAAAAACACTCTATTTCTTCAAGTGTTGTGAGAGTGAGGTTTTTTTATTTTCTTGGACTACATATAAATTAGTTTGGGAAACAAGTGTATTCAACAGGTTGTCACTAAACAAATGAAGGAAGAAATTAAGAGGAGTCTCTATAGTATCAGGAACATTTGGTCCAACGTTTTCTGAGAAAAACGGAGTTAAGTGGCATTATTTGGGTTGGTGGTCCATTTTAACTCATCAAGAATAGAATCTAATACCTCGTCTTCACCACAGTCACTGTCATGCGCAACATCTTCATTGTCTGAAATATCGTTACATTTATCTAAAACAGCTGACTCCAAAGTCATGTCGAAATCTTCATCCTCGTTCTCATCAAAATCGGATACATCAGATTCCTCCGATGGGATATCTGCTAGTAAATTGTAAGCCTCATGACTTGTTAATTGACTCAAATCAAGACATTTTTTTATTTTGGAATTCTTTAAAAAAAATACCTATTAGTTACTGATCGGCCTAGTGGTACCTATTGGAACCACCAATCAAAATATCAAAATTCACTTAGTTACCTAAGTAGTTTATAAAGACTCAATATAGTAATGCATAAATACATCTATTTATCAACAAATTAACATAATACATACCTTTTATCAGTAGAAGAATGTTTGTTTATTTACAACAATAAATAACCTCACTAGCATTCACTTGTGAGCGCGACAAATACACAACGTCTACATCGCATTCCGTCTGGTGGTCCCAGCGTCCGATTACTCGGGAAGAAGTTTAAAGTTATTTAAAAAATAGTTTAAAGGTGGTTCCAGCGTAAAGCCACTAAGCCTGAAAGGGTTAATGTAGGACTCGCTAGGCTCGTCCGTCAAACGTACAGGCTCACCAGAAAAAGTATCATTTGCACTCCTAATAAAACAATATACTATTTGCTTGTTCAGTATAGAATTATACATGACTAAAAATAAATATTTTTTAACTTTTATTTCAGAACGTGCACAGTTTTAGACTGAAAGCAATACATTATATCAACCCTCCAGGATATTTTCATAACACCATTACATTGCTTAAATCGATGCTGAGTAAAAAGTTATCAGAAAGGGTAAGTTTGGCGGCAATCAATAATAATTATTTTAAAAGGTTCTGAAACTTTGTCTGTGTGGTATGTCTAAGTAAAACAATATGTTTATAGAGGATTAAGCTACAATTGATTGTAACGCAAATTACATTTTCAACTGTAGTTTGACGTTTAGAATTTCATTCCGAAAATCGTTTTAAAAAAGATTATTTTAAGGTATTGGTGTTGATGAGTGTTTATAGCCTCTTCTTTGTCTTCTTCTTCGTGTGCCCCATCTTTTAAGGACACTAGCTAATATCATGGCCTATTTACTCTATAAGCAGCAGTTTTAAGAGTATTGTTCTTTTTTCATTCCACTGCTATAATTTTTTAACCAGGACGTGCAACCAAAAGAATTTAAATAAGCGCTAGACGTCGCCGAAATTGATATACAGATAAATAGTAAATATAAAAACAGTATCATATAATATATGTAAATACACAAATATATAAATAACAAATATGCAGACGATACCGTTCTGATAGCAGAAAAAATAGAAGACAAAAATTACAAAACATAATATAAATAGACAGAGTTAATAATGCAAGTGAAGTAATGAGACTGACAAAAAATCTTAAAAAGAAACTAAAGTAATTGTGATTAGCAAAACCGATGAAAACTGTCGCATTGACCTAAATAACACAAAGTCAGCTACTTACTTAATTCAGCTACCGAAATATAATCTTAAACATTCGAAAGAAAGTTATTAAATGCTACGTTTGGCCAGTCCTTCTGTACGGAGGCGAAGCCTGGACATCTATATTAAATACCATAAGAGATTATCGCAGAATGCTTAGAGTATCGTAGACATATCACATTACGAATTAAACAGGGTTAAATACAATTAATAAAGAATTAGAACTTATAACAACCATTAAGAATAGAAAGATCTCATACCTAGGCCATCTAATGAGAAATGAAAAGTATAACCTGCCATGATTAGTAACTAAAGGTAAGGTAGAGAGCTGAAGAGGAGTAGGCAGAAAAGCCATGTTACGGCAACTTGTTAAATTATATTTAAATCTTTTTAGCCTATTCTTCTTCAGGTACCTTCTCCTATCGGAGGTTGGAAATCATCATTGCTATTTTAATTTTATTGGCCGCGCTTATAAATAAATATAATGAGCTGCAACCGAACCACTCTCTCAAATTTCTTAGCCAGGATATTTTGCATCGTCCTGGGTTTCTCTTTCCTTGTATCTTCCCTTGTATAATTAACTTAAGTAATACGTACTTCTCGCCCCTCATTTTGCGTATTTTGGTAAAAATTAGTCCTCGAGCCTTCTACAATAGACCATTTTAAAGATAATTACTTTTTCTTGTGTCGAGAAGAGTTATAGAACAATGTTTTTGAAAAAAAAAAAAGGAAATTAGCCCATTAGTGACAAAAGTGACAAACTATACAAAATTGCATCTGAGGTACTAACTGTAATCCCTACATTTGACGGATGACATTTTTAAGGAGAAGCATAATAGTATATTACTTTATGAGGCGGAGAAGCGTAATAGAGGGCAAGTCAAGAAAAGTCGCTTCTTTGCCGAATAAAGTATACTATTTTTTCTTCAAACGTAGCAATTTTCAACCATAAATAATACAATTCATACGCTATTTTTACTCGAAATTTACTGTGACATCTATCAAAGTCGTCTAGATGTTGAAAATTAAAATAGTTAAGTCGTCGGTGGGATTTGCGTCTCCCTGGTTACAGTTGTTTAACAGTTGTTTGCAATTATTAAAGACAGCTTATTGTTGTTGCAACCGCAAGCGCAAATTTAGTGCGAAAATGGAAAACCTAAACGAAATTGAGACCGCGGCTAATGATGCAGTAGCACGTTTGGGGCCCTCCAAGTCCGGAATAAAGTATCGGTTAGCGTACAAGCACTTCCAAGAGTGGTGGAAAATTAATGGAAATCTTCTACAATGTGGTCACGATACTCTATGATAAAATCTGAGTTAGTTATTAGAAAAAATGTGAATATAAGCTAATTTTTAAAGTTACGTGCCTTTCTGAAAAAAAATAAGCGAATGATATACTGCAAAGAAGTCTAAAGTTTTCACTAAAGACGAGTTTGATAAATTTTGGTTTAAAGCGCCAGATAAGTTGTATTTAGGATTAAAGGTAAAAAAAATTATATTGCAAAGCATGTAGTATACTCTACTAAATTACAAAAATATTTTAGATTGTTTTGTTAATTGGGGTTACCGGCGCCTGTCGATGCGACGAAATGGTAAAAATGAAGACTGTGGACATTGAGGATGAAGAAAATGTAATAATTATCAAAATCCCAGACAGTAAAACTCGACAAATTAGATCTTTTACGATAATTGGTCAAAACTACATTAAACTGTATAAAAAGTATGCATCACTGCGGCCTGAAAATTTCACAGAAAACCGATTTTTTATCAAGTACCAAAATGGAAAGTGTTACCGAAGCGTCATGGGAATACATTCGATCAGCGCAGTAGTCCAAAAAGTAGCTAGTTATTTAAATTTAAACGATGCAAGCGCATACACGGGTCACTCTTTACGACGAACTTCAGCAACACTTTTAATTGATGGAGGCGGAAATCTAGAATGCCTCAAACGACATGGGGGCTGGAAATGAAGAAATAAGAACGATAATGATCAAAAAATTTTAAACCCTCATGATCCGCCAACATCGGGAATGATTGCTGAAAGTTGTTCTCGACCATCAGTATCATCAACAATTACCAATGCGTATCAAGAGTCGGGAACATTTTTGCACGGTTTCAATTTTGAAAATGCCTCATTAACTAATTGTACTTTTAACATTACTATAAATAAAAATGATGTTTAATTGCTGTTAATGACATTTGTATTGTTGCTTTGTGACATGTTTCATATTGTTGCCATGACAACATTTTTCCCTCCGCCGTAAAGAAATAGGAAAAAAACTTCTGCCGGCGGAGACATTAAACTTTGACAGAATCAAGTTAGATAAGTAATGTCATCATTATTTAACGTTTGAAGAAAAAAGTTGTTGGAAGGTATAGGTATCAATGTCTATACCTATACCTCCCTAGAAAAAAATTATGGAACATAAAAAACAATCACGTGTGTTCCTGTTTTTTTGCTTGGTTATTTGAATACGTATATTTCTTTTATTATTTTTAATTAGAAAAAGTAATATTTTGATGGAAAATTGAATTTTAAACAACTTTTTTGTAGATGCAAAAAGTGCATAGAATTCACCCAAATGCACCCTGAACTAGTGCATAGGGACAAATTCACGTCTTTCACAAACGCACCCCTTTAAATGGTAGCATTCCACTTTTTTGGCATATTTTTAAGTCCTTTGACCATATTATGAAATATTAAAACCCCTGTAACGTTGTAATTTCTTCATTAAAAGTACGTCATTATTAACCAGTAAATATGCAATCTGAATTAAATATTGCTGTTAAAATTAGATTAAGTAACTTAGATATCATGCCATTATTAAAAAATAAAATATGATCTACACATCAATATAATTGAATAAATTCTTTTCAATGTAAAGGTATGTGGTATTACAACATAGAAAAACTTTTTCCTAAGAAACCATGGTTGAGAAACCACTATCCCAAACATAGATAGGTGGCATATTACTACCATTATTATAATGAGAACTGGTCATTGCCTAACAGAAGTACATTTATATAAAATCAACATATGCAATAACCAATACTGTGAATGTGGACAAATGAAAACATTAGAACACATATTTTAGGAATCCCAATAAACAAAATAAAAGATTATGATCATTGTCTATCAGCAATTGATCAAAATTAATATTATTAACATACCAATGCCTCTGCGATATTAATCCTAAATTTATTAAAAATCTTCTCAAATTACGACAGATCCACTATATAAAATTATAACCTTTGTCTTCATAATAACCTGTCCAATATTAACATTTAAACCACTTATAAAAAAAAAACAGAAAACATAAATAAAATGTAGATAATTATGCAGATGAAAGCTATATTCACTGATAGTAGGGAATGAGATATATTCTCAGACTCACGACCGTGGCCAAAAAATTAACAAAACAAATGTACTGGCTGACTATTCAGTAAAATAAAAGTCAAAAAAGAAGAAGAAGGAGAATGATTCTTCTATTCTGATCATCCATTTCTGTCTTCTGTAATATGTTTGCAAACCTTCTCTGTTGTACGTTGTCGAAGGCTTTCTTAAAGTTAATTAGAAAGTACCTGTCACAGAGTACATTACAGATGACATCTCAACACCATTGTATATTCTTATGAGGGTTTGTATTCGCTCTATGCAAGTACTTGGAGGGGATACGAGAACCGTTCCTGCGCGTGCAGCGGTGATATCTTTTAACTTTGTTAGCATCGTTAATAAGTAATTTTTGAAGAAAATGTTTCAGTTTAATTACTAAATGTTTTAGGTATATAGCCACAAAACAATTAATGACCTGACAAAATATATTCCATTGGATCTTCTGCCTAGTGACTACGGCGGTAAACAAAAATCTTGCAGTGAATTAGCCGGTAAGAATTACAAACCAGATTTTTTTTTAATTATTATTACTATATATATATACATATATATATATATATATATATATATATATATATATATATATATGTATATATATATATATATATATATATATATATATATATATATATATATATATATTAAGACATTTTTTAATATTTTTTTTCCGACGTTCCGGCAGGAAATCCATGCCTTTTTCAAGAAGTAATATTGACTAAAAAAAAACATTCTATGACAGACATAATACGGTTTAAAAGTTAAACTTTTGACTTACCAAGCATCTAAAAATTCGGTATTACCAAGTAGGCGTCACAATTAAAATAATATTAAAACATAGGACATACCCACTAAGTCACTACATGTAAAATGTATTTTAAATCTAATGTGATGTTAATTGATGTTAGATTATCGTTTGAACAATCAGCTATTTTAACATCATAGGCGTTCTGAGATTGTCTTTTTATGTGTTTTTAAACTAAGTTAAAATATATTTTGTTCAAATTTTTGACATCTTTTTTATCATTTATTGCGTTATTATTTTTTTATTTGTATAGACTCTAGAAGCTCTCTCTTCTTCCTGTTGAGTTCACTTTTTAGGATATTGGTTTGCTCAAAATCAAATTTATGTTTTATTTCGTTTTCATGTTTTGTGAGGGCGGTTGAGTTTTTTTTGTCATATATGTGGGAACGTATTCTTAAGTTAAGTAGCTGACTGGTTTGTCCAATATAAACTCCATCACAATTCGAGCAGGGAATTTCATAAACAACATGCGATCTTTTTAATAGAGAGGTTTGTGTTTTCGATCTTGTAAAATTCCTTTTCAAAAGATTGTGCCCTTTATGAGCAACCGTAATATTATGTTTAGACAGAAGATTTACAATTTGTTCTAATAATCCTTTTATATAGGGGAGAGACATATAGTTTTTCTTTACCGTATTGGTTTCATGGTTATTATTGTTATTGTAAAATTTATTCGGTCGAGATTTGAAAGTGTTGTCGATAAGGTGGTGTGGGTATGAATTAAGTGTTAGTGCTGTTTTTGCTTTTTTAATGGCCTGAGGTCCATTGATAGGATCGGATAATCTAATAGCTCTATCAGCGAGTCCGATAACTACTGGTTTATTTTGAGACAGAGGATGATGAGAGTTGAAATATTTCTTTTAATAATGTTTTACAACAATTATAACAGTTATAACAGTTAAACAAACACGATAAAGAAAAACTATATGTCTCTCCCCTATGTAAAAGGATTATCAGAACAAATTGCAAATCTTCTGTCTAAACATAATATTACGGTTGCTCATCAAGGGCACAATCTTTTGAAAAGGAATTTTACAAGATCGAAAACACAAACCCCTCTATTAAAAAGGTCGCATGTTGTATATGAAATTCCCTGCTCGAATTGTGATGGAGTTTATATTGGACAAACCAGTCAGCTACTTAACTCAAGAATACGTTCCCACAAATCTGACAAAAAAACTCAACCGCCCTCACAAAACATGAAAACGAAAATAAAACATAAATTTAATTTTGAGAAAACCAAGATCCTAAAACGTGAACCCAACAGGAAGAAGAGATAGCTAGAGTCTATACAAATAAAAAAAAATAATAACGCAATAAATGATAAAAAAGATATTAAAAATTTGAACAAAATATATTTTAACTTAATTTAAAAACACATAAAAAGACAATCTCAGAACGCCTATGATGTTAAAATAACTGATTGTGTAAACGATAAACTAACATCAATAAACAACACATTAGATTTACAATACATTTCACATGTAGTGACTTAGTGGGTATGTCCTATGTTTTAATATTATTTTAATTGTTACGTCTACTTGTTAATACCGAATTTTTACATGCTTGGTAAGTCAAAAGTTTAACTTTTAAACCGTATTATATCTGTCATAGAATGTTTTTTTTTAGTCAATATTATTTCTTGAAAAAGCATGGATTTTCTGCCGAAACTTCGGAAAAAATATATAAAAATGTCCTAGTATCAAACAATTTTTTTTATGAACCTAAGCCCAAGAGAATCCACTAAAAAATATAATAATATATTAAGGTTCAAGAACTAAACTCAAACTATATATATATATATATATATATATATATATATATATATATATATATATATATATATATATATACTATATATATATATATATTTATATATATATATATATATATATATATATATATATTGTAAATTTTTTGTAAATAAAACATCGTAATCCGTTTTAGAGTTATGGAAACAAAAAATGTTTGAATATAAGGACCGATTTGACCAACTCGAAAGTATGAAAGTAAATGAAGAGCTTCGACCAGAAAAACTACAAAATGATGAACTCTTAGGTTACCATGGCAATTTTAAAAAGATTGAGACAGATTAACTAACAATTTTGTAAATGGACAGCAATAAGAGGACAAAGAAACAATTTAAAATTATAACAAAACATTATATTTATAATGGTCACGTTAAGTTGTTAAATAATATGTAGAGCAAGTAGGCTCAAAGCACATAAAGCACATTTTATCTATGTAATAAAGTTTATGTTTATTTCTGTTTTTATTTTCTTCAACAGATTCTCTATTTTTACGTTTTGGATTGGAACTACTTTTATGTATATTTTAAATTATTTAATAATATTATTAGCTGCGTTTGTCATTTATTTTATTTTTTGCCTGTTTCTTATCTCGTCACTTTTTTGCCCCCTTTACCTATAAGACTTTATTAGTCTTATATGTGTGGATGACATTTTGGAAATACATTTTATGGGGTGGCCAAATCTCTGTCAAAATTAAAATTTTTAAAATAAAGTTGTATATAAAAGTAGTGGATTACCTAAAAAACAGTAAGTTTAATATTTAACTGTTTAAAACTCTTTGTGACGATTTAGGAAGTGATTTTAAAATACTGCTTTTTCATACAGAAGAACGATGGCTATCAAAATCATACACGTTGACAAGATTATTTGACCTTGGAGTTGAAGTAATCACGTTTTTGGAACATCAAAATCAAAATAAACCAAGCGACTAGCTGAACAGCTTTAACCTAAAATTGCAGGGTTCAGACTTAAAAATCGTTACTCCTCGTAATGCGACCAACATGTATATTGAGAAATTGCAACTTAGAAAGCGTAAGATATCAGTAAACCCTTGCAATAATTCAAGTTTCCCAAAAGTAAAGTGATTCTAAGAATAAACTCGCTTCAAGTACATTTATGAAACATCAAGTTTAAAAATCCAAATATCAAGCCATTTGGAGAGCCTGATTAAAGAGTTGCAGAAATACTTTTCAAACACTTCTGAAGATAATATTTACAAAATGCCAATTGACCTATTCCATGCCTACATAGGCTGTCTGCCTAATCAACTTCAAGAAGATACTTTGCAAGTAGAGATGATACCATGATACCTCTGCCAAATAAAACTTTGATATAATGGACAACCCTTCGTTTTGTTTAAAATATTTCATTTTATTCTAGTGTATCACGAGAAGCTTTTCATTTATATTTCCCTTTTTTAAGCGGATATTTGTGCAAAAAAGCAGTTTTTTCACTTGTGGCAATTAAATCAAGGTATAAAAATAAACTTGATATTGCTAGTGACTTGCACTGTGCACTTACTAACACACAGCCACGAAAAAGATTGCTACTAATTAAAATGCAAGCTCATTTATCTCATTAACCAACCTAATCTAATTTTTTTTATTAATAATATTAGTATTTAATACAAACTAATATTGTATCTATCTTATGAGAACTTAAATGAGCAGCAAACCCAGACAATAGTATTTAGTTCTAATAGATGGGTTAAACCATCTGAACCAGTAAAGTTGCTAGATGTAACTATGGATACAAGGTTGAACTGGTCGCATCATATTGAAGGATTGAATCTGCTATGCGCAGATTGGCTACTTCTGTGAGTCGAGATATTCTTAAGTCAGTTTATTTTGAAATGGTTTATAGTATTCTGACATATTGCATACCTCTTTGGGAAAACTCGTTATATCCAAATAAAGTTTTCATTTCTCAAAAAGCAGCAATCAGAATTATAGACTCAGTGGAATATCGCGCCAGCTGTAAACCCTTGTTTAAAAAGTATGGCATTCTTCCTTTACCCTCAATATATATATTAAAAATTTTGTTAACTGTTCATAATAATATAAAAGATGTAAAAACACATGCTGACCAACATCAGTACAAAACAAGAAACAAAAGGCATATTATTATTCCATATTCCAGATTGTGTTTTACACAACTTATTACAATAGATTCTAATCTGTATAATTGTTTTTAAACCTAGGCAAAACGTATCTATCTATCTACCTATATATGGCAGTATAAATAAATGTTTTGTTTTCAATGTAATACTAATTTGATTTTGTTTCGTTAGTAAGCCCATATACAATTTATTGTTAAGGGTAAGGGGGCGCAAGAAACTTTTATTTCAGAAAAGGGGGCGTGGTACAGATAAGTTTGGGAACCCCTGCTGTAGACCCTTTAAGTTGCTTGAATGTTATTTTAAAGATCCCATCTGCTACCGGTGAATTTTGAATTTGGAGATTTGGGTGGTTCTGCCTGATGAATATTTTATTGATTTAAAACACCAGCTTTCCGAACAAATAACAACCTAGGCAAATATATCAAAACCAACAAGAGCCAAAATAAAAAACACTTACACAGTGGTGTGTACAAACTTAAATGTGGCGACTGCCCAAAAGCTTACATCGGTCACACTGGAAGAAACTTTAACAAAGGAATAGCAGAACATAAAAGAGCTTTCAATAATAGAAAAACAGATTCTACATACGTACTTCGCCTTCTAGATCACAATAATTCTTTTAACGACGAATTTAAAATTCTTCACATTCAAAATAAGGGCCTTAAGCTATCCTTGTTAGAATCTATGGAAATATGGAAAAACTCGAGACAAACAGTTCTTCCCTCCTCAACCTATTTCATTAGAGACTATAAAGTGTAAACACATGCCAAAAATATATCACTGACTGAGTTACGGAAAGAAAACAAGGCAAAGGACGAAGAAATCAAGAAGCTGGTCGGCCATATAATGGCTCTGACCGAAAGAAATGAAAGGAAAGAGCTAGAAGAAAAGAGAAGAGACGAAGTCATCTGGGAAATAACCAGACCAGGAAGCCCACCCTGGACGGGAATCGCCGCCCCTTCTACGTCTGGTTGCGGAGGAAAGCCAAAAGAACAGAAGGTAATACAAGAAAAAGAAAAAAGCGAAGCAGGATGGACAAAAGTCCAAAAAAAGGAAAAAACAAAAGGCACCGCTACTGAGAAATCAGTCAACAGTAGCGAGAAACCGAAAAAAGCACTGAGTATTGTTGAGAAACAAACTCAGAAAATCAACGAAAGAAAAGATGAAGCGCTCACAAAAGCTGCTAAAGAAATACAAAAAAGAAGTGAGCAGAAAAAAGCCCAGAAAAACTTGGAGGTACCGAAAGAACCTCAAGTTGATAAAGAAAACGTCGTTGACCCTCAGATACCTGCAGAGGTTAACGTAAAGAGACCTAAACCTCCTGCGACCATCTTAAAGACGGTCGCAGAACATCAAGCGATCCTGCAAAAAGCAGCAAAGAAAGGTATCGTTTCTGACAATAAGTTTGCCAGATCTAGCAGATCTATTGTCATTAACACCAAAACTAGGGAAGATTACCTAAGAGTAGTCAAAATACTAGAAGAACACACCCCGAAGGTAGAGTACGTTGCCTACCCGATAGACAGCGACAAATAAAAGAGGGTAATCCTAAAAGGGCTAGCGGCGAGCACAAGCACCGAACTTATTCTTAATGAATTAAGAAATAAAGACGTCGACGTAACTAGAGTCAGTAACATGTACTCTAAAAAAGAGGGAAAACCAATACTGCCTTTCTTTATGATCACCCTCAAAGAGGATGACATACAAAAAATACGCAAAATAACAAACTTGTGCTACATGAAGATTCGTTTCGAAGACGAAATCAAGACCACAAAAGATACCCTACAGTGTTTCAACTGCCAGGGTTATTACCACAGTTCAAAGGCTTGCCACTGCGACTCCAGATGTGTAAGGTGTGGTGAAAACCATCTCAGCAATGAGTGCGGAAAAAGCAAAGAAACGGCTCCAAAATGCGCCAACTGCGAACAGGCGCATACGGCCAATTACAGAGGATGCTCAAAAGCTCCAAAAAAGAAGACCCCTGCCCCCGTAAAACCGGCGGGCAGACCACTCAACCCAACAACAACAACCACGGGTTTCAGCTACGCACAAGCAGCCAAGAAAACCCCAGAACAAGCGGCCCCAACGATGCAAGACGCAGCCGCACTCATTGCCACATTCCAGACGGAATACAATAAGAAAATGATGGAGATGATGTCCGTGATGGATAGGGCCACAAAAATGATGACTGCATTCGGTGAAATAAATCGACAATGTTAGCGAACCATACGGAAGATCTACGCATAGGGTCCTGGAATTCCGGTGGAATTTTCCAAAAACTCAACCTTTTGGACGAAATGATAAATAGATTAGAGCTCGATATCGTAGCCCTTCAAGAAACGAAACTAGTGGAAAGGAAGAAAACCAAATTTCCAGGCTACGATATCTATAGAACTGACCATAGAGCAAGATCAGGAGGAACAGCCATACTAGTTAAAAAAGGCATAGAACATGAACACATCCCAACACCAGGTGGACTGGTCACAATGGAAGCCACGCTAGTAAGACTAAAGGCCAACAACGAAACACTAAAAATAGTGTCAGCTTATGTCAGACCTAACGAACCGATATTCGATGAAGATTTGAGCCTAATCCTCGACACAGAAGAGCCCACGGTAATCATAGGAGACCTTAATGCGAGATCTCCCAACTGGTTCGATAGAGCGACCAACAATAACGGGAGACGACTTTGCGGCCATCTCGAAAATAGACCAAACACCTACGTGATCGGACCAACAGAACCGACCTGTTTTCACGGACAACTCCCTACACATCTAGACATTGCAATCCTACACAACGTGGGTCAACAATACGAGATACGCTCTCTAAACGAAGGCGATTCGACGCACAATCTAATCGTTTTGACCCTGGGCGCAATAGAACTAAACTATTCGCAGCCCCACAAAAGAAAGATAACAAGTTGGCCAAACTTTAGAAGAATTGTGAGCGAAAACATCGGTAACATTCCAACAATAAACAACATCACAGAACTAGAAGACAGCGTAACCAAACTAGAAGAAACTATAATTAATGCTATCGATGCCAGCTCCAAAACCGAAACAATCACAAGACAAAAAGGAAGATTCGGAGATATAAGTCAGGATCTACAAGACTTAATTAAAGAAAAAAACAGAAAAAGAAGAAGAGCCTATCGTACTAGAACATTAGAAGATAAAAGGATTGCAAATGAGCTAGACAGGGAAGTTAAAAGACAACTACGAAATCACAGAAATGAAAGCTGGGACAACTATATCCAAGAATTAGACCCTAACAAATCCGCCTTCTGGAAATTATCGAAAATCCTCCGACAGGACAAGAAACCCATACCTCCCT